GAATCGTACGGTGTCGAATAATTTGGTGTCGAATCGTACGGTGTCGAATAAATCTGTGTCCAATAATTTGGTGTCGAATCGATCGGTGTCGAATCGTACTGTGGTCAAACGGAACACGCCCACTCGAGACTGTGAGTTTGCTGTGTCTTTCTTTTTCCTTCGAACTCGTAGTTTGTAAGACACCTTTTTAATGTCTGCGTTTATTTTTGTTTATTTCAGGAGCAGAAAACTCACGGAGTAGCTTCCTCTGTTTATAAATTTTTATATATATTTATTACAAATATAAATTTTTTTCTTGAGAACCTTGCTGTTTTTATTTCTTTTTCACTCAGTATCTTTTGCTTAATCCAATCGGAATATTCTGTTGAGTCCCGTTCTTGACACACAGAATGAGAGATCTTACCGCTGCCAGTAAAATTTGTTGGATGTTGAGAAAAGACTGGTCGATGTAAGAGATAAGTTCTAAGTTTGAACTTATTAAAATATTTTTATCGCGCTCCTGTTCTTTTACAATGTTCCTTCACGGCTGTTTTTCACCGCGGTACACTTTTCGGCTTGCGGATCCACGCAGTCAGCTAGCATTCCTAACACAATCTCTGCCCTGCTTCATCTGCGCAATCGATTTATAGTAGATCGATCGCGCCGATTCAGCAGGCCCACCGGCCCTAGCAACGGCCGTGCTAGTTACCGGTGCCGGTGTCAACAACAAAATGCGTTGCATTTCGGACAATGCGGCGATGTGTCGCACCGTGTGGTAACAAGCAGTTCTTCCTGGAGCGGTTGTTGCCCTGTAACTTAACTAGGTTATTGAGCAACGACAGTGATTTTTTTTCTTTTATTACGCAGGGGAAATGCATTTACGCACACCCTGACCCGCACTAAGTGTGGGCCAGAGTAGTGTGGGACTCGCCTTGCCGGAGAGCACTCCGGCAGGGAATACCCACTAAAACCCCTGCGGTGTCCACCTTCCACTCTTTGAGGGCTGCCTCGGTAATTGCCTTATGAGCTTGACCACGGGGAGCGGTGCACTTAGACACCGTTCAATTGGACACGTTGCAATTAAACACGTTGCAAATAGACACAGAATTTTAGACACGGTTCAATTAGACACGGTGCATTTGGACACGGTTCAATTAGACACGGTGCATTTGGACACGCAAGAAAATGCGCACCGTTCATTTAGACACCGTTCAAATGCGCACTGTTCATTTGTACACAGAAATATGCGCACCGTTCAATTAGACACCGTTCACTTGCGCACCGTTCGTTTGTACACAGAAAAATGCGCACCGTTCAATTAGACACCGTAATAATGCGCACCGTTCATTTAGACACCGTAATAATGCGCACCGTTCACTTAGACACCGTAATACTGCGCACCGTTCACTTAGACACCGTAATAATGCGCACCGTTTACTTAGACACCGTAATAATGCGCACCGTTCAATTAGACACCGTTTACTTGCGCACCGTTTGTTTGTACACAGAAAGTTACGCACCGTTTATTTAGACACCGTTCACTTGCGCACCGTTCGTTTGCACCCAGAAAGATGCGCACCGTTCATTTAGACACCGTAATAATGCGCACCGTAATAATGCGCGCCGTAATAATGCACACCGTAATAATGCGCACCGTAATAATGCACACTGTAATAATGCGCACCGTAATAATGCGCACCGTTCACTTAGACACCGTTTATTTAGACACTGTTTGTTTGAACACAAATAGACAATGAAAAGTGAAAATATATGATAGTAGTAACACAGGTTAGGTTAGGTTAGGTTAGATTTTTTTCGGGGAGGG